CCATCATTACTTTCTATTTTGCACATCTTGTTCGTGCCGTTATCACTTTTAATTCTTCATTTTTTCAAAATTAGATGAAGAGTTTTCTCTAATTTTGTTAAATCAATTTATTATGTGGAACCGAAGTCAAGGAGCCACAAGTGGAATCCCTAACACCTTGAAATGGAGGATCCAAATTGATGGACAAAGGTGATGTCGAGCTAACGACATTAAACAAAAGTGCTTATTGAGAGACAACCTAATAAATTTCTATTTTGATTGTTTCAATTCATGTTTAAATTAGTTTTATTAATTTTTTTTTTAGATTTTCCTCATACTTGACTTGATTTGGAGAGTGTTATAGCATAGGTACTCTTTAGTGTTGAAAAAAGGAGGGGAAACAAAACACATACGAGCAAAAAGAGAGAACATAGGTTATGAATGTCAACAAGCATGCCCGTGTGTGTGTTGTGATTACAAACTCAAAGAAAAAAAACATGCGAGACATGGGTAGTGGGATGTTGCACGGTTTGCAAGAAACAATCTACACGTCCGTGTAGGTGATAAGCTTATACAATGGCAAGAAAGAAAGAAAGGAGACAACGGTAGTAACATCCGACACGGCTTGTGTAACAACTTACATTTTATTTAGGTTTTCTCTTTTTTTTTTGTTTATTTATGAATTTTTGCATAATTTTTTTAGCTTATTTCCCTATATATAAAAAAAATTGAAAAAAAAAGATGAAATAAATGCTATGGTTTAGTGTGATGTTCTTCTTGATTAATGTTTGATGATAAGTTTGATGAAATTTGATGAGATGAATGAAAATGTTTGAGATATTATTGTTATAGTTATGCATGCATCCTAGAAAGCTTTATTTATCTTTATGATTGAACATAATTTAGTTAGTAACACCGACTTTAAAAGAAAAGAAAACCTTTTGGACACTAGACCTAAGCATGGTTTAAATAAATGAGATTTTTTTAATATTAAGAAAATTTGAGAAAGAAATCGAAAAGCATTCCATTATGAAATTTGGCCTAAGTAAGTAAAAAATTCTACTCTAATATTTGAGTTGCTTAGTAATTAGGAGTATTTATTACAAATGTTTACTTTTATGTCAAATGGCAATTTGAGTTATGAGTATGCAAAGCACTATAGGTTGATGACATGCTAAGTAACTAGTTGCCTTCATCATAAATGTCGATAGTCGCATATAAAGGCAAGTGACCACTTAGAAAAAAGCTATTAAGGCCTCGAAAAAAAATTTAGGATGCTTAAACCAAAAAAGTTTTGATTAAAGAAAATCTTGATTTATTTTTTTGCTTGTAGTGGTGGAAAGTGATAAAAGTAAAGTTGATGTTGCATGCCTAAATTATGTTTGGTTATGAAGATGCATAAATCAATTTAGAGACATGCATTGATATGATAATAATATTTTAAAAATGATCGAGTTCACTATTGAATTTTGAATTCGAGCATTAATGTTTGGAGAACAATCATACTAGCATGACATTTGTTTAAACAATTTTATGAGTTTATCATCCAAAAACCCTCACGAGACATAACTCATCTACTCGGGGATAACCTAGGGGTTTAGAGGCTTGTTACATATGATAAATACAGTCGTAATTCCTACGAAAGTGAGTTAGGTTTTATTCTATTTGTTTTAATCAAAGGCTAGCAATGTTTAAGTGTAGAGGTATTTGATAAGTGCATAATTAGCATGATTTTTATGGTCTTTTACATTGAACTTTCTATTGTTTATTATACTATATTTAGGAAATTAAGATAAAGATAACGATTTCAGATTTTATAAGAAAAATGTTAAATTGAAGCAAAAAACCCAAGCCAAAAGCAAGGAGAAGCTAAAAGCCACTAAGGAAGATTAAGAGGACACATTACCGTGTGTGATACAAGAAGAAATAGCTACCGGTCATGTGAAAAAAGAAAAAAATTATGTAGATGTTCAACATAATTAACTAAGACCTTTCGAAATTCTTGTAGGTTTCCCACAAACCTTAAAGTTAGATTTGGAAGAAGTGGTCTTCAAATACTTTGCAGAGGACATCTCAATCTTTTTAAAATGATATAGTGGCTCAAAATCCAAGTTTTTTAGGCTTCCAAATGATATTTCATATTCCGATCTAGAAAACTTATCCGAATCCCATTTGGAGTCTAGATCAATTTGGAGTTTAATTCATATCTAAAGTTTTAGAACTCTAATTAATGCAAGGCCAAGCTCGTGAAATACTTAAGAGGCATATCTACAAGTCTTATAAAGTTTTTGAGTCCAAACTAGGTCATTATCATGGAGTAATTTATCTACAAAGTGGAATTCTAAGGCTAGGTAGATAGGTTGAGTCGGTTTCAGTATTTCACTCATAAATTGATCTATAGATATTCAATTGATGCATGCCTTAATATGTTGGAAATAAAGGAAAGAGGGCTATAACTTTTATGAAGAATGTAAACCCTATTTCAGCTTGTATCAAGTTCGATCAAGTTGATTATTTAGAGACAAGGGATGGAGTGCAAATTCCACATGGTCGAAGCATGGAACCTAGGATGAAGGAAAAAAATCACATAGGCAATAGCTAAGGACACGGGATAAAGAAACAAAAGACATGAGATGAAGTGTAAAATGCACAAGATTGTGTCCCTTAGTCAAACAAATCGTGTATTACAATAAACAAGTTATATAGAGGTCGACGTATGTGTTGTTACCCTACTTTTGGCTATAAATAAAGAAGTTAGGGTTTTACTTTATTTATTATCTCATTCTAGGGAGATTCTCACTTTTAACAACCATCATAGACTAAAAAACTCTCTCTTTGTAACTCATTATGAGCAACTAAACTCTATTCTTGGTGAATCAAGTTGAAGCTCTTGGTTAAATCACTGTGAGATTATGGGTTTTATTTCTAAACTTATCTTATTTGAGTATTTTATATTTTTCTCGTATGATTGGTTCATGGTTATGTGATTAGATTAATTAGAATGCATGCTAATTATTTGATCATATTAACTTATTGCTAACTAAGTATTTTGTGTAATTACTTGTCTAAACTTGCCTAAAGTAGAAACTAGGGGTTGATGATTATTTTTCACATTTTTATTCAATCTCTTGAAAAACATAAAACTAGGTTACATCTATTCTAGTACTTAGAAAGGTAACTTAGCGTCACCTGCCTTTCTCCGATTAATGTTGTTTCTGGATTAAATCTATATAGGGCTTAGTAGGTTGTTTGATAGTTAAGAAATTAATCAAGTGTCATATCTTTGGTTAATGACTAGGTAAGGACAGATTATGGACAATATACATGTTGTTGTCTTGTAATAAATATTCATGTTTAGGCTAAGTTAATGTTTAAATTGATGATGAGCAACCTAACTAAAAGTGGATACTAAAGTTCAACCAAGGTTTCTTTATAATTGTTATTTCAATTTACTTTAATTACCTCTAAGCACTCCAAACACAAAACCCCTTTCTTTATTGCTTTTACACTACAAGAACAATCAATTGAAAGAAACGAGTCAATTAAGCCTCCTTCCCTATGGGTTTAACCATTACTTTTCCTAATTAGACTATTGCGGTTAAGGTTTCGTGAGGACATTATAAATTACTAATTTATTCACGGTATGACACGCTATCAATATTTTTCCTTTAAAAAGTAGTAAAAAGTTAATTAAATAATAACTAGGGAAATTTTGGCTAGGGTTAAAAAAAACTTATCCAATTAGAATAAAAGAAACTAGGCCATGTCAAAATTAAAAGAGAAAATAACTCTAATCCTATTTGGACTCTTATGCAATCATTACTTTAATTTAAAGTATCCATATTAAATAACAATCCACATAAACTAGGATTTCTAACTAATTGTAACTCCATATAAAATAAGGACTCCTAAATAAACATGGATTCATTATACACAAGAATCTACATTCTTTTTTACCTAGTCCTATTCGACTACACCCAATAAAAATAGAAATCCATATCCCATGAGTACTAATTAATCTAGCATAAATCCAAACATAAAAATATCCAAAACAATAATAATCAAACCCAAAGTTGGGCCATCAAATAATTACGGAGCAAATAAAAATACATAATAGATAGGCTAAATATTTTAGCCATTATGGTATCAAAATATTTGGCCAAAGACTAAGAGACACTCCATTATCATGCTCCTCGAGGTTAAAAGAAGTCATCATCAACATCTTGGCTCCTTTTTCTTTGTCACAAAAAAGTAGTAAATCCGATTCTTTAAAAATGGCTCATACTAGATAATCTCTAAAAAGATCAACCTTGTACACTTGCTCTCCTACTCTTTTTACTATACGAAATGGACCTTTTACTTTTTCAAGTTTGACATATCTTCTCTTGGAAAACTTCTTTCTTATACTAACCCATACTAAGTCTCCCTCTTTTTCAAGTTGTTTGCTTTTGAAACTTAGTAACTTTAACTCACAACTTCTCTCTTGTTGATTCATCAAAAGGTATTGAAGTTGTCATGTATCCAACAATAACTTTACTACTCTTGGCAGCAATAGACTCAACACCTTCATTTATGGTAGCCCCTACATTATTCACATTAGTCATGATTAGGGGTGTGTAAACGGTTCGGTTAACCAAAAATCGAATCAAACCGAACCGTATTAAGATATTTGGTTCGGTTTTGAATTTAAAATTTATTATTTATAACTAAACCAAAAAACCGAAATTTATTTCGGTTCGGTTTGGTTTTTTAAAAAAAATTCGGTTCAAACCGAAAACCAAAATTTATTCATAAATTTCGGTTCAAACCGAAAAACCTAAATTCCTATTTCGATTTCACTCTCACTCTCTCGGACTCTCACTCGGTCACTCTCTCGTTTCTCTTCTCATTTAGACATTTCCATCAAAATAGTCAAATACCAAATCCCTAACCTTAAGTCCGTAGTTGTCGGCTCGCCCGCCTCACCGTCATCGTCATTGCTTGCTAGCCTCGCTACCTTGTTCGCGACGCTGCCTTGCTACTCATCGTACTGCTGCCTCGCTGCCCTTGTTACTACTAGACGCCGCCTCGCTCGCCGACCTCGCCGTTGCCTCGTCTGGAAAGCTCTCTTTGATAGTCTCATTCTCGACGTGAGTTTGGTGAAGGTATTCACTAGCCCTTTCATTGCTTACCTATTTTTTAAATTGCATTAGTGTTTGCAATTTCTTCATGCCATTTATGAACTTATTTATCATCCAAACACAAGTTGATCCGGTTAGCCATTCTCATTACGAAGTATCTATAGGACCTTTAAATTGTATTTTTATTACTAATGAGATCTAAAGTATCATTTACTCGTCATTTTCATGAAAAAAGAAACGGCTATGGAGGTCGAGTTACGTAGCCATATCAAAGCAGAAGCTTCAATTTTATCCGAATTGAGAGTTTAAGTATAAACTAAAAATTAATACTTCGGTATTTATAAGTCGACCTCTTCATTCTAAATTTCCTTTGCCATCTTATCTTCTTGACTTTCTTCACCCTTCGGATCATATATCCGGTGGCTTTCTTTAGTTGTTTCTTCACCGAGGTTTATTGGGTTACAATTCTTAGCATCTTCCTTTTCCTCCGTGGCTTGTTGTTTATCCTATTTGGTCAACTATTATCGGATTTTAATACTTGCGAGAAAAAGAAAAATAAAGGAGAACGAGAAAAAAAAACAAAAAATCATGAGGAGCGAGAAAGTTGTGTCTAAAAATCTATCCGACCTTTTCATTTGTGAGTTCATCATGTATGATTTCGGTTGCATCAATTGTTTTCTCATTCGATTTTCTCTTGCCACCAAATCGATTCATCGCTACTTCGGATGCTTTTCTTCTTTGCTTTCGGTATGTTCTACTGCCGGTGGCCGGTTGGCTCTATCGGCTGCCGGCGATAGGCCTACGGGCTACCGCCGGTAGGCCTACCGCCTTGGTGCCTCCTGCGTAGCTAGATTGTTTTTTTTTGCTTAAGCTTAAGGACTAAGGAGTGTGAAATGTGAAGCTTAATACTTTTTTTCCTATGTTTTTATGTAGATGTCGCAATCTCAATCCATAGAGATGAATTATGAAGCTGTGGATTCAAGCAATCCTAATCCACAATCAAGTGCAACTCCAAGTAACACTCAAGACGGTGGCAAAGGAAAGAAGAGGAAATCAATGAAGCCAAGATCGATGGTGTGGGATCATTTCACAAAGTTTGAAGATGACAAGAAAAACATGAAGGCTAAATGTAACTATTGTGATAAGGTATTTGCTTGTAATCCTTCAAAAAATGGGACAACTTCACTTAGGTCTCATGTTTTGACTTGCGAAAAAAACCCGTTTAGTTGTATTGACTCTACCCAAACTCAATTAGACCTAAGAAAGCTTGAAGCGGGAGAAAGCAATCTTACCACATGGAAGTTTGATCAAAATGTTAGTAGAAAAGATTTAGTTGAAATGATCATTCTAGATGAGCTTCCATTTAAGCATATAGAGGGTAGGGGATTCAAAAAGTTTTTGTCTAATTTACAACCTAGATTCAAGATTCCATCTCGTTTTACAATTTCAAGAGATTGCTATCAAATTTATCTAGATGAGAAAATAAAGTTGAAGCAATTTTTGAAACAAAATAGTCAAAGAATTAGCCTTACTACGGACACATGGACATCTATTCAAAGAATCAATTACATGTGTTTAACGACTCATTTTATTGATAATGATTGGAAATTGCATAAAAAGATCTTGAATTTTTGTCCGATTGATAGTCATAAGGGAGTAGATTTAGGTATTGCCATTGAGAAATGCTTGATTGATTGGGGAATTGATAAGGTTTTTAGTGTTACGATTGATAATGCGAGTTCGAATGATGTGGCAATTAGGCACTTAAAAGATGTGATTAAGAATTGGGGTTATAGCATCTTAGATGGTGAATTCATTCATATGAGGTGTATGGCACATACTTTGAATCTAGTTGTTGTTGATGGGTTAAAACATTTTAATCCTTCAATCGTTCATATTCGATCGGCCGTTAGGTTTGTGAGGCAATCTCCGACTAGGTTGAAAAGATTTAAGGAATACATTCAACTTGAGAAAATTGATTCTAGGAGTTTGTTACAACTAGATGTTGCTACTAGGTGGAATTCAACATACTTAATGTTAGAGTCGACTCTAAAGTTTGAGAGAGCTTTTAAGAGATATGAGCAAATTGATCCTTTATATAGGAGTGAATTTGATATAGATCATGGTGATAATGTTGTTGGGCCACTTAATGTTGATGATTGGAAGTCTTGTAAGAAGTTGGTGGACATGTTAAAAATTTTTTACAATCTCACTTTGCGTATTTCGGGTTCTTTATATGTGACTTCAAATATTTATTTTGAAGAGATTTATGCTCTCGAACATGTTTTGAAAAAATGGCAACGAAGTGGGGATTTAGATGATTTTACGTTGGCCAATAAAATGAAAGAAAAGTTTGAGAAGTATTGGGGGGATATTAAGAAAATAAATAAGTTGATTTATATTGCGACAATACTTGATCCTAGGCATAAACTTGTATTTATTGAATTTTCAATCAATGAATTATATGGTGATTTGGAGGGTCAAAGAATGTCAAATATTGTCAAGGAATCTATACATGCTATGTATGATTTCTATTGTCGTTCGTCAACATCTCAAGGTGAAATTGGCCAAGGTAGTGGGAGTCGGGAAATAGATGTGGGTTGTGCAAATGAAGAAATGATTGATGAAGAAGAAATTAGAATAAAAAGGGAGATAATGATGCGTTTTGAAAAATACAAGTGTGATGTTGGAGGTGGAGGAAATAAAACGGAGTTGGATAAATATCTTAGTGAAGGTGCTGAAAATAAAAGTGCTGATTTTAAGATTTTAGAATGGTGGAAAACCAATTCTCCTCGGTTTCCCATCCTTTCACAAATGGCTAGGGATATATTAGCGGTTCTCGTTTCTACTTGTTTCCTCATAATTGACATTTAGCACTTGGAGGAAGGGTTCTTGACTACTTTAGGAGTTCTTTGACTCCTAGCTTAGTGGAATCTCTTATATGTGCTCAAGATTGGATTAAAAATTCATCGACACCAATTATTATTGAAGAAAATTTACAAGATGTTGAGAAAATGCAAGATCGTAATTTCTATAACTCTTACCTTTTCATTTGTTATTTCTTTCCTTTATATTAATATTAAAAGTTTAATTTCTTTATCTTATATTTTCAGAGTTACCACTTGCCACTACCTCTATTACAAATGATTGAATCTTGATGGGTTGATGACTTGATGGTATTTTGGCGTGATGAATGGTATGTGGTATGTGTAAGTTACTAAGTTTCTACTTTCTAAGTTTGATTTTTTATTTCGTTGTTTGTGCAAGTTTAGTCGGTAAGTGGGAATTGTAAATTTTCATTTTCATTAAACTAGAGAAGAGAACCATAGTAGGTAGTAGCCTATCGCCTGGTGCCTCGTGCCCACCGGAAGTAGGCCTACCGCCCACTGCTGTAGGCCTACTGCTGTGGCCAGTAGGCCTACTCGGGTGGGCAGTAGGCCTACTGCTGTGGCCAGTAGGCCTACTCCGGTGGGCAGTAGGCCAGTAGGCCTACTGCTGTGGCCAGTAGGCCTACTCAGGTAGGCAGTAGGCCTACAGCAATGGGCAGTAGGCTTACTGCCTTGGTGTCTCCGCCATGCGGCGATGGGCAACGAGCCTACTGCCTTTGATTTTCGTAGCATGTTAATATTCTCTTTCGGGAGCATTGAGTGTTTGTTGGGATTTCATTCTATTGCGGATCCCGAAGGAGTGAAGGTATTGCAAATGCACGGAAATCATTTATTTTAGGACAGGAAGAGAGCTCGTGTCTTGTCCTCTTTGTTAAGAAATGAGAACGGACATTCTACCATGCTTTTGTTATTTAATGTCGATTGTATTGTATATGGATCTTTGTTTCATCAACAATTATTTTGCATGACTTATTTTCTTTTTTGATATGTGAATGTTAAACATGTTGGATTGTTGGGTGTTTAAATTTAACTTTAATTGTGAATTTTTTTTTTTTTTGGTGTTGAATTCTTTTTAGAAAAGAAAGTGGTTACTTGTTAGCTCGGCATTGCTAATTACTCAGCTTAGGCAAAGAAAAAATAAATGGAAGTTTTGGGAGAACTGTCTAAAGTTTGAAATGGAGAAGTAATGAAAAAATTCGGTTAAACCGAATTATTTCAAAACCGAATTGAAATAATTTGGTTACAAACCGAATTAACCGAATTAATTTTGGTTCGGTTTCGGTTTTTATTCTTTCTACTTTGGTTAACCGAAAACCGAACCGAATTATGCTTAACCGAACATTTTAACCAAATGCTCACCCCTAGTCACGATAGCCCCTACATCAAGTTCCTCCCTCACAAAAAATATCCAACCACTCGCTACCTCTTACAACAATCCCTAATTGATCCTCACTAACCATAGTAGTCCTTAGGTTTGGTGCAACATTCATAGCATCAACCTCTAGAGCACCATTCCTTTCCGAAATATAAGGTCTAACATGTCTTAATATATTCTCACTAAATTTTGTGACCTTTTGATCACCTAAATCAATATGATTGGTATTAAATCAGCCATCCATGCCAATATCAATGGTGTAAGAAGCATCAATGTCAACATTATCATACTCATCATATATGGATGGTGAATTCTAATCCATATAATTCTCAAACATCGCCACTATATCATGCTTAAATACACTCAATTCATTATGCATTATATTCAAATCATCATGCATGTTATCTTTACGTAATTTACCTAAAAAATGAGATGAAATAATAGAATTACCTCAAGTTAACTCTAGTATAGTCAACAACCCTACAACCACGAGTGGACACAAATATGGGAACAACCGAATTCTTTTTTAAGGTGATTCATTAGAAGCCTATTTTTTTAAAGAGACTATACTACAAAAAATTCATCCTTTAGCAATGGATTTTTCATTGTTAAACCTATATATTTTGTAGTTCTTTTAGTGATGGAATGAAAATGAAATCAATTCGTTGGTAAAATATTTATGGCTAATATTTTAGCAATAGAAATTAGCATTCATCGCTAAATTCATGATGTACAAGTTGTCACTATAGAGAAGTTTTTTCATTATTAATGTGATAAAATTAGAAGTCTCGTTCATCGTTAATGTTATTATTATAGCAATGTACTCTCGTCACTAATGTAAGAAATGTAATTTTTTTAATTCGTTATTATTGTGCCTACTATTTCATAGTACTAAGAATCAACCACATCTTTTAATTATCATATTTAGTGTACTCAAATCTTTTTATTTGACTAGCTAACTAAGAGCATCTCAATTACTTTGTATCCATATTTACTATTAAATGTCTTTAGAAGCCTTGTGACAATTCAAACTTTTTCTCTTAGTGAGTGAATGAAATGTTTCACATCAAATATATCCTCAAAAGTAATGCAAATATATATATATATATATATATATACATCTAATGAAGGGTTGTCCATCCTATGGAGGTGAGAAATGAAACAAAAATTTCCTCCATCTAAAGGGCTCAAGATCATGTCGTTGAATCAGCTAACCATATATTCATGAATTAACGCGATAAATAAAGAATTACGCCTAATAGGGTAGATTTAAATCTTTGCGGAAAAGAGTCGTCCAAGTGTCCAGCCTTTATCAATAATTCTTGTAGTCTAAACACCCACAAAAGAAGTACTCAAAATTAGTAGAGTGCTAGCTCCACCTTTTCGACTTGTTTAGTATTTCCTAAATCTAATTAGGGTAATTTTACAATAACCCAAAGAGAGAGAGAGGA